CTTATTTGCATATACAGAGAGATCATGAGTAGTCCCAGTAACTTTCAGAGGGCTTTATTAGAATTTAATTGTTTATAGAAATATTGGCTTTTCATTTATCTGAAATTATATGAAACCTTGATTATAATTTTAAAAGCTTACTTGCCGAAACCAGTTTGGCTCAGTGGATAGAGCGTTGGCCTGCGGACTGAAAGGTCCCAGGTTCGATTCCGGTCAGGGGCATGTACCTGGGTTGCGGCACATCCCCAGTAGGAGATGTGCAGGAGGCGGCTGATCGATGTTTCTCTCTCATCGATGTTTCTAACTCTCTATCTCTCTCCCTTCCTCTCTGTAAAAAATCAATAAAATATATTTTAAAAATAAAATAAAATAAAAAGCTTACTTATAAAGTAATCAAAGTAGGTATCTTTATTAAAAAGGCAAAGCAAGTAAATTTAGTAAACTTATACGTCTGATTCACAAGGCCTCACCTCCAGCCTACTATTTAAAATGCAGGTGGCCAGAGGCTTGTCTTTTAAATTTCTGCTGATGAAAAATTTGGCTGTATTTAAGAAATATATTGTTACTTTATTTTGCCCTTATTAGAGGCCAAAACCCTCATAACATTTAAAGTATATGTATATAAGTAAAATATAGTTATTAATTTTTATTTGATTAAAGCTTTCCATGTGATTTCAAGTATATTAGATTGGCTAAATTTAAAATGTTTCTTTTAAGAAGAGAACAAATTTTTTTTTTGGATCACTCTGGGCCCTTGGAGTTTTCCAAAAATCATCCCTGGGATCTTAAAGGACATCAATTACATTTAAACTGGTTTTTGTATTAAAAATTCCATTTGGATTATAGAATTAATCCTTTTTAATTAGACCAATGAGCAACATATTTTGAATTCCTAATTATTTCAGAGAAAACACAAAAGTTATTTTCTCAAAAATAAATTTCGCCCTAACCGGTTTGGCTCAGTGGATAGAGCGTTGGCCTGCGGACTGAAAGGTCCCAGGTTCAATTCCGGTCAAGGGCATGTGGGGGTGTGCAGGAGGCAGCTGATCGATGTTTCTCCCCCATCGATGTTTCTAACTCCCTATCCCTCTCCCTTCCTCTCTGTAAAATCAATAAAACATATTTTAAAAAAATAAATAAATAAATAAATAAATAAATAAATGTCTATACTTTAGGCATTTAGTTATCACAACTATATAATTTCTCCCAATTTAATTTAAATTCTTAAACTTTTAGAGCTGGCAAGTCAAGCATTTCGTGATTAGTGAAACCTTTATATTTTTAAGAATAAATTTCAAAAAATAGCCGAAGCCGGTTTGGCTCAGTGGATAGAGCGTCGGCCTGCGGACTGAAGGGTCCCAGGTTCGATTCCGGTCAAGGGCATGTACCTGGGTTGCGGGCACATCCCCAGTGGGGGATGTGCAGGAGGCAGCTGATCGGTGTTTTTCTCTCATCGATGTTTCTAACTCTCTATCTCTCTCCCTTCCTCTCTGTAAAAAATCAATAAAATATATTTTTAAAAAAAACAAAAAAAATATGACATATTTAATAGATTCAATTCTATCCTCTAGATTTTTTTTTAATAAGGTAAACTCGGGTTAATATTTCTGTATTTTTGTCCTTTTAAAATATCTAGCTATCTAATAATTTTTATTATTTAATTCAGCAGTGTTCTAAAGTCTTAAGTTACCAAAGGCTTTGGAAAACTGCGTTTCTGGCGAGAGGGCAGGGGGAGGGGATTTAAAACGCCACATTTTTCCTTTAGAGATAACAGGTAAGGTTTCTGTTGCTGCAGCAGGCTTCTTTGCTTTTACAGGGAAAAGAGCGACTGGCCCTTTATCATCAACACATTATCACTGAAAAGCTTTACCACAAAGTCTAATTTGCTCATAAGCTTTCTGCACATAATTTAGCTGATTTTGCACATCATTATATTGTCCCAGTCCTGCCAGCATTTCATAAGTTATTTGGGCATCCAGCCCTCGGTTTGCCAGGGCTTGCTCTGACATTTCTCCAAAAATTCTCCCTTCCATAGTAAATAATCTCCTCCATCCAGGGTTGCACGAGCCAGGGAATACCAATCATAAGGAGCTAAGAATGCTTCAGAAACACTGTTCATAATTTCTCCTGTAGAAGGAGCGGTTGGACCATTTTGAACTATGCTTTCACGTAAGGCCTTTATCATTTTAAAGTCAAATTTTTCATGGTGTCCTATTATCTGATTCGGGAGCTGTGGGTCAGCTACCTGTATGATAGGAAAGCAAGCCTTTCTTCCACCAACATGTCCTTCAGTCCTTCTCTGATGGCTCTTTGCATAGGTGATTCTATTTACAGTGAATTAAATGTTTCAGGATTAGGACATGGAGGTGGAGGGGGCCATGAAGGCCATTCCTCCTATTTATTTTTTATTTATTTATTTTTTATTTATTTTTTATTTATTTATTTGCTCCTCTTTAGGGGCTGAGGGTGCAAGCGGAGGAGATTTATCCTCCTTGGCCTCCGTTAAAGGCTCTAGCAAATGAATACCATGTTCCACAAGGAGAAACAATTTGGAGGCAAGTTTTTGCCTTGCTGCTAAGCTTTTTTCAAGTTCTGGCCAACTCTTTCCCAACATTCAAGATCTAATGTACCTTCTTCAGGAAACCAAGGGTTATGTTCTGTAATAACGTGCAAAAACTGTAAGGGAATACCTTCTGAAGCCTTAATACCTTAAGCATGCAAATCAAAAATCTACAATAAATTTTTTCTCCTTTTGACGAATTCTGCCCCATTAGCCTGGCTCAGTGGTCGGCAAACTCATTAGTCAACAGAACCTAATATCAACAGTACAACGATTGAAATTTCTTTTGAGAGCCAAATTTTTTAAACTTAAACTATATAGGTAGGTACATTGTTATTAACTTAATTAGGGAACTCCTAAGCTGGCTTTTGCTAAAAACGTCCTCAATCTGATTGAGGTACGTTCGCTGAGGTCGACCCCTTCCAACTCTCCCATCCACACTTGTCTTGTATACTTGTTTCGTCTATCTCCTTTCGTTCATCCTCTCTATATGTCCAAACCATCTCAACATACCTTTCTCAATCCTCGACACTACATCTTCTTTCAGTCCACAATGTTCCCTAAAATTAACTTAATAAACTTTACTTAAAGTTTTAAGTCTTAGTTAAACTATAGGTACGTTGAATAAAACTTGATATCATACTTAATAACGATATTATTTATTGATAAAATTAAATTCCTTACAATTTATCTTACAATATCCATAAAATTAAATCATGACAATGACTGGCCCAGGCCGAAAACCGACTTCTGCGCACTGCCCGCGAAGTTTCAATCTCACTGTACGTGCGCAGCCGCACGTGGTATTTTGTGGAAGAGTCACACTCAAGGGGCCAAAGAGCCGCATGTGGCTCGCGAGCCGCGGTTTGCCAACCATTGGCCTGGCTAAATAGAAACACGTACCCACCCTACTTACAGATCACGAATTCTGCAGCTGATCGTGGACTTTGTGTGTGGTGAAATTTCTCCCAACTTTATGGTGAATTCTTTCCCACCTTGCCAGTGAAACTTCGTTTTTTCGTTCTAGGTGAAGTCTTCTCCTCCAGATGTCCTATGTTGAGGCGCTAGATGTGTATGTTCTCCCACGTCCCTGTGTGGTTCAGGATCTGGAGGAGGGGCCACACACAAATGAAAGAGACGAGACAAGAGATTAATTTGGAAATATTGGGGGTCCAGGAGGACAAGCCCAACTCAAGGGGAAGGACTTCCACTGGTGCCCAGGCCTTGCCAGCCTTTTATTCAACTTTGGATACACATCTAGCTCTTAGGCAGGTAATTGTGGTAACAGACAGACTACCTTAAAGGACAGTAAATATTAGGAGGATTTACGCTGAGATAATTTGATCAGGAAATAGCCCCAGCCCCCATTGTCTGGACTAGACATTTGGTGCTTACCTTTGGCCCTTGCCATGGGTTCAAGGGTCACCAGCGTCCGGGATCCTTGTGTGCACTTCTCTGCTAGTGAAGACAATGGGTGGCTTCCTGCACTGTGAGCTGTGCTGGGCCTGAGGAGGCCTTTCCCTCCTGGAGCTGTTCTTCCCAGGTGGCCCTGTCAGCTGCTTTTTTTTCGATTTTTTTTTTTTTTTTTTTTTTTTTTTTATTGGAAAGCAAGCTCTGGGCTTCGGGTTCCTGGGATCCCTGGCCTCCTGGCCTCCCTGCGCCCCTCCCCCTCCTCCTGCGTGGAGTCTCTGGCCCCTGGTGATCAGTGCGCCTCCTAGCGACTGGTCCTGGTCTGGGGTTCCGCGTTATGGTTGTTGGGCCTTTATTAGGATAATGGACACAACATTGTATTCGTTTCCAATGTATAACATAATGAAGTGTCAGATGTGCCTCCTAATAACTCTCAGGTCACAATACAGTGTTATCAACCGCAGTCCCCGTGCCCTGCCTCCCCATGACGGGTTTAGTTTATCCCCGGAGTGTGTGCCCTTTAAGATGGGGTGATAGGCCATGGGGTGGAGAGCCCTGGGTGGTGTAAGGCCCACCGGGTGGGGGTGGGAGTGGGGGGGTGAAATATTACAAGAATTACAGCCCCGGGAGTGGAGGGTCATTAACAGACGGATGGCAGAAAGAGGTGTTTTCACTGAATAAAATTCCCTTCCTATCTCTACCCCTCACCCTGCACTCGCACCCCCGCCACCCTCCACCCCGGAATGGGGGAAAACAGGCCAAATATGCGGGCGGGGCAGGAGTGGGGCCCGGGGCCAAGAGTGTACAGCGGAGATCCCTACAAGTATGGGATGCGAAACGTCAGCTTGACGCAAGGGGTGGAGGGGGCGGGGACGGGGCGCAAAGGCGGGCCGGGCCAATGAGGTGCGCGCGGAGTAACAAGGGGCGGTGCCAGCACAAGGGGCGGCGCCAGCTGTGATTCATTCTAACCTCAGAGATAGTCTGCTAACGCTGGCTCCACTGACTAGGCTGACCCAACACCTTGTAGCAGTGTTGTGATTTCCTATCCTGGATACGCACTTTTTCTGAGATGGAGGGGTCTGGGTCTGAAGGTGTCAGCCCGGTCTTGTTGCTCGTACTTCTGCTTTGGGAACCCGCCGCTTCTCGCTGTGAGTTGGGGAATTGAATCGGGACCAGGAAAGCTGATGGTGGGGAGCCCATGGTGGGGGGTGGGGCACAGACCCCCCGGGGATCATCTCTGCGGGCGCCTTTCATTCTCGGGGCGTCTGCTTAGCTGACTGCCTCTGTCCAGGTGAGAGGGATGGAAAAGAGCCTATAACTTGCCACAAGTAGGCCTGGGCAAAGGAACCCGGAGAAAGATGGGAGAGAGGGCAAAGCCCCCTCCTCCACCCCGAGCCGCGACAGCACGCCCCACCACCGGCCTCACTAAAGGCTTCTGCAAAGTGGGAGCCGAGCCCCTGCCATCTGCACACGAACAGGACAAGGACCGCCCGGCCATCAGGGGGTCGCTTGCTGTCCAGAATGGGGGAGGGGCGCTTAGTTACCTTTATTCCCAACCCTGCGTTCCTCCCTCACAGGTGCTCCCTCTCTGGGCTACAAATTCACAGTCACTCCTAATGGACAACCGTGGTGTGAAATTCAAGGCCAGGTCAATGGGAACACATTTCTTCATTATACCTGTGGTGGCAACAAGGTCAAACTCATCAGTGTTCTGGAGATGAATGCCACACAGGCCTGGAGTGAACAGAGAGACGCTCTGCAGTACGTGGTGGAAGAGCTCAAGAAGACGCTGCTGGACATTAAAGCAGAGATTCCTGCAACCAGCGGTAAGTTTACAAAACCCAGGGTGGAGGCAGAACAGAGGTGTAGGGTTAGGGATCAGTTGTGTTTATGTAAATGTGGGAAGTCCTTCCCACCCAAGAGACTCGGGAGTCAGTATAGGACAGTGATGGCGAACGTATGACACACAAACTCATTTTTTTGGTTGATTTTTCTATGTTAAATGGCATTTAAATATATAAAATATAACAAAAATATAAATCTTTGTTTTACTATGGTTGCAAATATCAAAAAATTTCTATATGTGACACGGCACCAGAGTTAAGTCAGGGTTTTTCAAAATGCTGACACGCCGAGCTCAAAAGTTCACCATCACTGGTATAGGACACAGAGGACAGAGCAGGACCAGTAGAATAGAGGGGAGGAGAAAGCTGGACATCGGGAGGGGACAAAGGCTCTGTCAAAACCCAAAGCTGACCTCTTCCCATGGGGCTGGGGACAGGTCCTCACTCCCTGCAGGGCAGCATGATGTGTGAGCAGGAATCCAATGTACTCATCGCTGCATCCTGGGAGTTTGGACTGGATGGACAGATATCTCTCCGCTTTGACTCAAAGAATGGACACTGGACAGTGCTGCACGGTGAAGGCATTCTGTTAAAGCAAACATTGGCGAGTGACAGAGCTATGACCGATCTCCTTGTTAGGACCTCAGCTGGAGACTGTAGGAAGTGGCTTGAACAAGTTTTGTGTCCCCTGAGCACACAAGGTAATTCTACAGAGGAAATGAAGTTGTAGGTCCCTTGAAATGACATTCACACTGTGTGTGTGTCTGTGTGTTGTGTGTGGTTGGAGAAAGTGACCCATCCACCACGGTGAGGGATTTTGGGAGAATAAGGGCCATAGGTATGTTCTGCGATCCCTCCTTGGGTTTCTCACTTCCTCACATCTCTGCCTGCACATGACCTTGGACCACTCACCTTTTCCTTGTCCTGTTCCCTCTTCTCAGCATCATGTGTCTTCATCTCACCTGGGCTACTTCTGGAAATCCTTTCACACCACCTCACATCAGCCCTGCGAGGATTCTCTGCCACCTCCCTCAGGTGTCACCTCCTCTTCTGTCCCAGCAGGAGTGATTGTTGTAACCCTTGCTTCCCCCGTTCGCTGTGTGAGCCCCAAGGGGCCAGGGCCCATCTCCTCTCTTTGCTCCAACCCCAGGCTCTGTCACTGTGGCTGCCACACGTGGAGGGTAGAAACTGCACAATAGGATGACCTGGGACAGCAGGGTCTGGGGGGCATCTCCATGGAATTGGGTTCTGCTCGGTTGTCACTCTCCTGTTTCCATTACAGCTGCACCAACCACTGCCACAGCCACAGTCCCGTCCAAGGCCACAACCAACACGCCCATCACTTCGGTCCTCCCTGTGATCCCTACCTGTGCAATCATAGTTGGCATCTTAGGCTGGGCCTTTAAGTAACAGGTACTGAGGGCTTAATCATGTGGGAAATGAGGGACAGATGGCCTGGGGTGAGGACAGGGAAAGATGAATTCCCAGCCTGACCCCTGATCCCGTCCCCCTTAAACTTCTCCTCCTGGAAATTAGACCAGGAGACTAACACATGTTATCACTTCACAGCAATAAGTTGCACAAGCTCAGCCCTGAGTGCTGCTGTCTCCTCACTGTTGATGCCAGTGGGAAAGGGAGGGGCTCCCACCGAGGCTTCAGGCCTGTAGATGCTGAAGGGGTTTAGGGACTTCAGTCCTGATTCAGGTTCTCAGTTTAGGAGAGTGTGTTTGGGCCCAGGATGGGTGGTGTGGAGTCAGCAGGCACACAGCAGGGGCAGTGCTCACGTTCAGGTGAGAGCAGCATGCTGGCACCATGTGATGTGTCCAGGGGAAGGGGAACATCCAGGGGCTAAGAGGAGAGTGGCCTGGGTGTAAGCCCGGGAAGAGGTGGAAGGCCTTGCAGACCCAACTCAAAAGGCTGGAGTTCACAGAAAGTGGCTCTGAAAGGCCCAGTAAGGGCGGGAGGCAAACAGTAAGGACTATTTCAGGAGGCAAACCTTAAGGTTAGAAGGAGGCCTGGGATTCCTGGCTGAGCCCTGGTGTAATCACCTGACAGCCAGCCTCCTCCACCCGCCAGATCCTGAGCCACTGAGGGGCCCCTATGAATAGGGCAGGGCTGGGACGGTCATACTGAGAGCTCTGTGTGCTGCTGGGTAAGAGGCTGGGAGAGAAAGGGAGAGAAGGGTGTTTTTCTGCAACCCTCCCCAAGCTGTCAGGTGTCAGGATGGGCCTTCCTGTCCATCAGAGCTCCCACCAGGTCCTTAGACCCTCCCACCCCCCGGAGAATCAGACCTGAGTGAAGGGAGCAGATGGAGTCATTACTCAGTTTACTCCTGAGCTCAAAACATCTGTCAGGGCTGGGGTGACTCTGATGTGCAAAGGGTGGGGGAGCTTGGTACAGGCTGTTGGTCCCAGGGCAGGGGTGGCAGGTTCAGGGAAAGATGTGACTCTAGTGAGGGCAGGGCTGGAGATGGGGAGAGTGGGGTTCTGTAGCCCCAGAACTGACCCAGGGTTTCCTGAGCCACTGGGACCAACACTCGCCCTTTTCTGCAGGCTGCCTATGCGATGGGACCAGGAAGGCCCTGGTGTGTGGACCATCTCAGCGACTCTGCCTTTGCTTGGCTGCCTCTGCATGACCTGCTGCTCATTTTAGAACCTCAGGAGTTCAAACCTTCTGCCCAGAGACCAGGTCTGATCAGGATGAGACAGTAGATGCAGCATCTCATGTCCATTATTGCATTGCTGATTATCCTCTCCAGTGCTTTTGTTTTTTAAATATATTTTATTGATTTTTTACAGAAAGGAAGGGAGAGGGATAGAGTCAGAAACATCGATGAGAGAGAAACATCGACCTGCTGCCTCCTGCACACCCCCCACTGGGGACGTGCCTGCAACCAAGGTACATGCCGTTGACCAGAATCGAACCTGGGACCTTTCAGTCCACAGGCCGACGCTCTATCCAGAGCCAAACCGGTTACGGCTGTCCGGTCCCTTTTAAACATACCATGTCACTTTCTGTGGTCCTAAGAGATGTAATTCCTACATTTAAACATTAATAGCTTCAATAAGAAATCTCAACAAAGAGAACATTTTCCATCTTCTTGTGGAAGATCAGATACATCTCTGCATGTATTATTTTCAAGCAGATAATATTGCCAAAAAGTGCCAGACATTAGGGTTTTTTTCTGTGTCCTCAAAAGCAGTCACGTAGGCAGCAGAGGCGACATGCTAGGGAAGGTGGAAGACTGTGAAGGTGGAAGACCAGTCTGCGAAAGAGACTACTTTTGTTGACGAAAGAGCAACTTTGTGAAAGAGGCTAAGAAAGTGCCACTGGTGGCAACACCTATCAGCACAGCAAAGTCAATCAGTGGACCACAAATGTAGTAGAACAGACTTAAGCCAACTCACCAAGCTGGGGAAACCATTCACATACATTGTGACCTGTATAATCATGTAGCAGAATAGAGTAGGACTATACATGGTAAGTTCTTGCTTCTGGGACAGCTCTACTGACCATGCGATGGGAGAACTAGACCATGTGCTGCATCGTCAGCGCCTTCGGACTGTCCATCTGACTGACCTCCTCATCCATCTGGGCTCTTTCTCTGCCTCAACATTTCTCTCCGATCTCCTAGCCACCAGCCATGAATTCAGTGCCCAGCTTTCCCACTCCGTTCTCTGTGGCACTCTCAGCACGCTGAGCAAAACCCAAATGGCCGCGCTGTTCCGTGATCAGCACACCCTCAGTCACACGGATCGTTCACCTGGGCAGCCGGACCTGGACTGCCACGGGCCGCACTCTGAGTATCTCTGTTCAAAGGTGCTAAACACTCAGTCTGCTAGTGTGAACTTTCCCGTACTTTGTACTGTTGTTAGAATAAATTATTCCAGTTTTTAAGAAGTCATGTATTTTAAAAGAACAAAATTATATTTTTGACTGTTTCCACTACTAGCTTATATCAGTATGATGCGGTTTAAATAAACATCTTTATATTCTAAAAATGTTAATTACTTTGGAGTGTTGTATTATTCTTTTTTTAGATAATTTTTTCGTTTTCTGGGCCAAACATGACAAATACCAACAGCAAGATCTCAAATCCTGAGAATAACAAGGTGTGTTTTTTTTTCTGTCTAATGCTCTCCAGGTCCATCCATGCCGCCTTAAAAGGTACGGTTTCCGGGGGTTTGTAAGTTGAGGTGCTGTTCCCTTTCCCCAGGACCGCTAGGCACTGACCGGTGAGCTTCCACCTCGGGCCTCGGGTGACCCAAAAGGGAATTAGTTCCGGCTACCGAGGGGGGGGGGGTGACCCCGGCGGAGGGATATGGAGGGAAGCCTCACATTTCCCTTCCTGTTCCCTCGAAGGGTTCGGGAGGAGGTTCGCGGAGGAGGTCGCAGGCCGCCCGGAAGTTGATCCAGGCGTTAGGGTAGGCGGGTAGGTGATGGGCTGCGAGGAGGGAGCGGGGCCGGGCCCGCGGACCAGCCCGTCCGCGCAGGCGGAAGGCAAAGTAGTTCCCTGAGGGCGTTGGCGGCGGGGGAAGCGGAGCAGGCTGAGGCGCACGCCGCCGCGGGCGGTGCTGCGACCCAGCTTGAAGGGACCCCAGGAGCCGCCGCCGCCGCTTTTCGGGGGGGGGGGGGGGGGCCGGGGAGCGAGTGGAAGTTACTGGCGGGACACCGAGGCCGGACCGGAGACTGAGGCGCAGTTGCCAGCGGCGGGGTCGGCCTGGGGGAGGGGGTGTGCTGAGGGGTTCGGGGCGGGGGCGGTGGGAGGAGCTGGGACAGGGGGTCCCAGGAAGCCGGGCGCGTCATCGCCGCGAATCGGCCCCGCTCGGCTGCTCCCGGCGGCGGCGGCGGAAGGACCGGGCTGCCGGGTGGACTGGCGAGGCCGAGGGAGCCCGCGGCCGGAGGGACCTGGACTGGGCGGGAGCTGGGGGCATCGCTGGGTTCCCCCCCTCCGGTACCCCGCAATGAGGAGGGCCCTTGACGGAACCGGGGTGAGGCGTGCGTTTTGTGGAGCCCGGAGGGAGTCGGGGGGCCGGAAGTGGGCTTTGGAGCTTGGAGGGCGTCTACTCTAGGAAGAGAGAAAGTGGGGGGCCGGAAGTGCAGGTGGGCGATGGGAAGACCGTGAGGGTTCCCCGGATAGCGGCAGAGGGGAGGCTCCAGGGCCAGGGACGTCCCGGAAATGGAAACTAGGGAGCAGCTCGAGTGACAAGAGTGGTGGCTCAGAGGAGGAGAGGTCGGAGGGACTTCAGGCCCGCAGTAGGGGGGTTGCTGCCCGGGGAGCGGGGGGCGGACACGGGTCCGCGCTGGGCGGTGTTAGTCGTGGGGAGTTGACGTTGGCGGGGGGGGGGTGGGGGTGCAGGAAAAGAGGCCCCGAAACTTTGCCGAGAGGAGCGGAG